GCTTGATGCAACTAAATGATGCAAGTAGAATAAATGTAACGAACCATCGAAGAAGAAAGTGCAAGTGCTTCCATAACCATGACAAAAACACACCGCAGCTTTGATTTCGTCTCCAGATTTCGGTAACCAACACTTACAGAAAATTTCTTCCCCTTTCGAATTTCTCTCATACCACTAATCATATGTATAATGAAAGAAAGATTTGACTTTGTATCCCTTTGAAGCAGAAGGCTAAAAAAACAAAAATCACTGCTTACCTCCTCTGTTCTGATCCCAATCGGAGCTTTCTGTAACCAGATTCAGATGATTAGAGTCGATTTAGCTATAAAATTACGAAGTCAACAAAAAATATTGAAATGAACCTTGAATAAACAGTGATCGAGATTCTGCTGCAAGTCAACAAAAGCGGAACGGACTCGTCTTCTTGCTGGAGCTTGATCTAAGTTCTCCGATGCGATTAGATTCAGCTCATCGCTTACTCCATCGATCGGAGCTCGTTTCGCGAAAACAATCGCCGACGCAAATCGTCGTTTTACAGCTATGTCTAGAGAACTCGAGCTATGGCGGTTTTGGAAGGGGAAGAGAGTAGTCGGAGTTTCAAAACGGGAAGTTAAAGCACGATCCATGGTGGTAAGTTCCCGGAGATTTTAATTCAACAATCCGAGATTGTAAAATCAGATCGGGGAAGAAGAAAGAGTGTATATTTTTGTGCGGGAAATTTCGCACGTGCAACACGTGCTACTTACTGTTCGTTGACGACGACGCTTCAGTCTTCAAAACCGGTTCGACCGTCACCTGATCGACAGAAAACCTTATGAAAACCGGGTCGAGTCGGTAAACACACAATCCTTTTAGTGCCAATTGATGGGCCTCACCAATATTGGGCTCTACGTTTTTCAATGAATCATAATTTGACAAAATAAAAAAGAAATTATATAAATCCGATTCGATTCGAAACGAGATACACTATACAGTATCGCTTCCAACTATAAAAACACTCTAAAATTCCTCAAATCTCTCTCTCAGTGTTCTACAGAAGAAATGACGTTTGGGTATTCGCTTGCTATGTTCATTCTCATGGCGGTTATCGGAGCCGGAGTCGCCGGAAACGTAACCTACGACGGACGATCGCTGATCATCGACGGTCAACATAAGATCCTTTTCTCCGGCTCAATCCATTATCCTCGCAGCACTCCTCAGGTATATACTCTCTCCTTCTCGATTCAGCTTCTTCTCTTCCGTAACGTCGCCGGAATTTGATTTCTCTTCCGAAATCTCCGCCGGGAACGAGAAGTCACGTGAATTAGCACACTGAGTCGGCGGTAGGTTGCGAAGACGAAACTCGTGAGCTGTTAGAGAGAGAGGACACGATCGTCTTTTCACAATCAACTCGACTCGGCCGTTTTTAACTTATCGAATTTGCGAGACTTAGTGCTCTGATTTTCGGATTATTCTTATTCGACCCCAAACTTGTTGAAATCGTATAAACCACCTCCAGTGAAATCTTTTATATGCGTTTATGATTTGGCGGGGATCTCTTCGTCTTCTTCTTCGTCAAATATTAATGGAAGTCGAACTCGCAGATGTGGCGATCCTTGATTTTGAAGGCAAAATCTGGAGGAATAGATGTAATAGATACATATGTGTTCTGGAACATTCACGAGCCGCAACAAGGCCAGGTCAGTCCATCTTTCTCAATTACTCTATTTCCAGACGAATTTATGCATATAGGTGTATGCGATTGATGTATTTTGCGATTTTACAGTTCGATTTCAGTGGACGCAATGATATCGTGAGGTTCATTAAGGAAGTACAAAAGCAAGGGTTATATGTCTGTCTTCGAATTGGACCTTTTATCCAGGGTGAATGGTCGTATGGGTAAGCTTTTTCCGGGGTTAGATCGTTAAGATTTTACCTAAGTTTGTGGAATTTTAAGGTTTTTTTTTTTCAATACACGTTGCAGGGGTTTGCCTTTCTGGTTGCATAATGTCCCAGGGATTGTGTTTAGAACAGATAATGAGCCATTCAAGGTAATAATTAACTTAACTCAAAATTGCTTTAAAAACTTGTATGATTCTGAAGAAGATACGTTTTGTGTGCAGTATCACATGAAGAGATATGCACAAATGATTATTAAGCTGATGAAATCGGAAAACTTGTATGCTTCCCAAGGAGGGCCTATCATACTCTCACAGGTTTACATTTGCTTTTCTTTTCATGTATGTTTGCTTCGAAGTTATTTTCTTTTCTGATCTCAAAGTGATGTGTAAAACAGATTGAGAACGAGTATGGGATGGTAGGAAGAGCTTTTCGAGAAGAAGGGAAATCATATGTCAAATGGGCAGCAAAATTGGCTGTGGAGCTTGAAACAGGAGTGCCATGGGTCATGTGCAAGCAGGATGATGCCCCTGATCCTTTGGTTGGTTTATGTGTTTGTTCTGCAGTGTGGTTCATCTTCCATTATCCGCTTCTGAATTCGTTGTTTCGGTTATCTTATTGTTTCTGTGATGCATCAGATCAATGCTTGCAATGGGAGGCAGTGTGGAGAAACATTTAAAGGACCCAATTCTCCAAACAAGCCAGCAATATGGACTGAGAACTGGACTAGTTTGTATGGACTTCATTCAAATTCACTACATTGCTGTTTACTTCTCAGTCCCCAGATTACGAATTAACTTTCAGCTGCTCCCTTTGTATAGTTATCAAACATTTGGTGAAGAAACATTGATGAGGTCAGCAGAGGATATAGCATTTCACGTTGCTCTATTCATTGCCAAGAATGGAAGTTTCGTAAACTACTACATGGTACTTTTTTCAGTATCCCTCTCTTGTTTTCTCTTTAGTATACAAGATATGCAGAAATGATTGATGATTTGACTCTGTTTCTTATTCTAGTATCATGGAGGAACAAACTTTGGAAGAAATGGTTCGCAGTTCGTAACCACTAGTTATTATGATCAAGCTCCACTTGATGAATATGGTAATATTTCAAACCATTCACCCTCCACTTTTTATCTGACAGTATAACATAAAAGGTTGGTGCTGCAGGATTACTTAGGCAACCAAAATGGGGACACCTTAAGGAATTACATGCTGCAGTTAAGCTGTGTGAAAAGCCTCTGCTTTCTGGACTGCGAACGACAATATCTTTGGGAAAGCTACAAACTGTAAGAAAAATTCATTACTATCTTCTCCTTTTTGATATCATGAAGGATGTTGGAACAATGATATTTATCTCTTATTTAACAGGCTTTTGTGTTTGGAAAGCATGCCGACCAATGCGCTGCCTTACTTGTGAACCAAGACAAAAACGATTCTACTGTGAAGTTTCTTAATTCTTCACACCTTTTGTCTCCAAAATCTATAATTGTCCTGCCAGACTGCAAGAATGTAGCCTTCAACACTGCCAAGGTAAACTCATGCATCAAGACTGTCATTCATGCAGCTTTCTTGTTATGCATTCATTTATCTTTTGTGGTATGGATAGGTCAATGCGCAATACAACACGAGAACAAGGGAACCAAGACAAATTTTGTCTTCTCCTCAAATGTGGGAGGAATATACAGAAAATGTTCCGAGTTTCAGTGAAACGCCAATAAGATCAGAATCCTTGCTTGAGCACATGAACACAACACAGGATACTTCTGACTATATGTGGCAAATATTCAGGTAAAACCATTATTATCCCGTAAGATATACAGCATTAGTTAGGATATAATGTTACGTGTAATTTATTCTGTTTCTTTTGCAGTACAGGTTCCAACAACCTGAACAAGCTGCATCAATTCTTAAAGTAAACCATGTTGGACATGTTCTACACGCATTTGTTAATGGGAGATTAATAGGCATGCTTTTGTATCTCTGACTCCTACTCAATGTTAAAGGCTTTTCTGTAGCAATCATCATTGTCACTTTATTTAAATGCTTCTATTTTTGAGTTTTCTTTAGGTTCTATGCACGGAGCTTTCAAGGCGCAGAGATTTTTGCTAGAGAAAAATGTGACATTGATTAATGGCACAAATACCTTCGCATTACTCAGTGTAATGGTAGGATTACCGGTGAGCTCCAATCTTTTCTTCTGAACTTCTTTAACATATGCTCCAAACAAAGTACATCTACATGAGTATCTGTAGCGAGTATGAAAACAGCATCTCTTTCGTTCACAGAATTCAGGAGCACATCTAGAAAGGAGAGTTGGTGGATCACGGAGCGTAAAAATTTGGAATGGAAAACAGGCACTGTACTTCAACAAATATAGTTGGGGATTTCAGGTAAACCTTCTGAGTAATCTTCAACAGAACGTATCTCCTTCATGTTAACTGACACGGGCTCAAAACCGTTGTGGAGGTTGGGCTGCAAGGGGAGAAATTACATGTTTACACAGATCCTGGGGCGACAAATGTTCAGTGGAAGCAGTACAGAGACTCCAAAAATCAGCCTCTAAGTTGGTACAAGGTAGTATAGCAACAAAATAGTAAAAACAGCACTAGTTCAATATATTCTCAAACTTCAGTCTCTGATGTTATTTGTATCTATCCATCTATAGGCCTCATTTGACACACCAGAGGGGAAAGATCCATTGGCCTTGAACTTAGGATCAATGGGAAAAGGAGAAGCTTGGGTGAATGGGCAGAGTATTGGTCGGTACTGGGTCTCATTTCATACTTCCAAGGGAAGCCCTTCTCAGATATGGTATTATATTGTTGACTCTCTTATTTGAATTATCTTGGTATATTAACTAAATGATATTTTATGAAGCTAATGTTCTCTTATTTTCAGGTACCATATACCGAGATCTTTTCTTAAACCCAAAAGTAACTCATTAGTCATTTTGGAAGAAGAACGGGAAGGGAATCCTCTTGGTATAACTATAGACACAGTGTCAGTCACTGAAGTCTGCGGTCATGTCTCCAATTTACATCCTTCTCCTGTGATTTCTTGGAGAAGAAAAGGCCACAACCGAAATGAACGCAGACATCTAAAACATCGGTATGAAAGGAGGCCTAAGGTTCAGCTACAGTGTCCTTATGGCAGGAAAATTACAAAGGTATTGTTTGCAAGCTATGGTACTCCAAATGGAAATTGTCAGAGCTATTCTCTTGGAAGCTGTCACGCACCAAACTCTTTAGCTGTTGTACAGAAGGTAAGTTACTACTATTGTCCCTGTAAATGCTTCTTGGTTAACTGAAATCGTAAAAGCCGAAACAAAGATGTTTTTATGAATTTGTGCAGGCTTGTCTGAGAAAGAGTAGGTGTTCTGTAGCAGTATGGAGCAAAACATTTGGTGATGATTCATGTCCACACACTGTTAAATCTCTGCTTGTTCATGCTCAATGCTCATGAGAGTCCAATTCTTTAGTATAAATTTCTCTTCCTCTTTTTCTCTTTCTTATAATGAACAAGTTACAAAAGTATCAAAGAAATTTTACAATAGCACAATACAAGGTTTTGAGTTCAATAGGAAAAATCAGAGAAACAAAACATCTCTTTATAGCTCCGAAATCGGTGCAGCCTCCATCTAATTAATTAGTGTTTCAATTAAACTATCCAATTCATCATGAAAGCCATGCAAAATTGAGCAGGATATATTCATCAGTTAGATTTCCTCCATTGCAGAATTTTGATTCACATTGATCTTGTGAAAATCCGATTTCCGGACAGCCTCTTTTCGAGCCATGACTGGTTTGATCTTCATGACTCTTGTATATCTCTGTTCTATTCCTTCTTTCATTCTCTTATGCAGCTCTTCATCAAGTGTATCTGCTATTCCTTCTGAGCTCAGAGCATCCAACACCAACTTATATGTATACTCTCTTGGAACAAACCCGGCCTCCACCATCTCCACCACCAAATCCCGAGCCTCGGCTGCTCTCCTGGTCTCAACAAGAGCGTGTATTAGCGGTGTGTACGTGCTTGAACCAGGTACACCGTGACCCATCTTCTTCATTGTCCTCATCATTTCGATTGCACGTTCTACCTCATTGGTAACACTGAAATACCTTATGAAAGAATTATACGTCACCTGGTTCGGGACACAGCCTCTCTTCTCCATATCTTCAAACAGCTCCAAAGCCCGACCAATCCGATTCGTTTTGCAACATCCATCAATCAAGCAATTATAAGTCACCACATCAGGTACAAATCCCCTGAACAGCATTTCCTTAAACATTCGATTAGCCTCCCACATTCTCCTCCTTATCGCCTTTCTACATCCGGTTTGCATCCCATATCTACAGTATGAGCTTATCAAAATGGTGTAAGTATAAGTATCTGGCGGGTATCGGAAACCCGGCAATTGCATCTGATCGAACAAAAATCTAGCCTTTTTGAAATTCCCAACCCGGCAAAGAGCGTTAATGATCGTATTATAAGCGTAAACATCGGGTTTGCAATGGTATTCCTTCATCCGATAAAAAGTAGCTAGTGCCTCTTTCACAAAACCTTCTTCTCCTAGACATTTCATCAAACACGTTATAGACGCTGTAGTCACCACATTTCCTCCGTTCTCTCTTCTCGAAACTCGCCGGAGAAATTCCCAGAGACCATTAAAGTCGTTGCCTTTAACACACAAACAAGCCATATCTCTGCAAGTGATCTCACTATGATCAAACCCGAAATGTATCTCGATCCAAAAGAAGAACTCCATTGCTTTCTGCAACCCGAGAGAGACTTTCTTTGGATCCATATACGCACCGGGACCCATAACAAGAACGTCGGAACGGCGTCGTTGTGACTCGTCACGGAGGTTTCTCTGCTTTAACGGTGACCGGTGACGAAAACCCTTTTGCCGACCGATTGATCGTGGTGAAATGAAGAAGTATCTGGGGATGGAGCGGAGGACATCGGAGACGAGCCGGTGAGTCCATGGAATCGAGAACGTTGAAGTGGCGAGTACGGCGTCGAATGGACGGTTCTGGATCATGGCGGCGATGAGCTGATCGATAATCCGGTTGCATAGTGGTTGCGACGGTTTCATTGTTGTTCTGAAAACTATTGCAAAGGTCCTAACTTCGAATTTCGTTTGGAAGTAACAAAAACAAAGCCCTATACTTCTTACATGTTTCTGTTTAGCCCTATACTTTTTGAACTTACTGATTCAGCCCTGCACTTGTGATTAGTTTTCTTAATAATAAATTTCGCTTAAATCGGTTGGAAATCGGATAATTTGGTTTCGGAATTTGTTGAATTTCGGTTTGAATTCAGAAAAATTTGTTCAATCCGGAAATCTTGCTTACTCCAACTACACATAACCGGTTTAAACGATTAAACAAATGACATTAAAATTATATCTTTCTTTGAAATACATTTTATACAGAAAAATTAATTTCACTTTCACATCTTACATTCTTCTTCTTTTTTCCAACACTCAGAACTTATTTTTTTTTGGATTTGTCTTTTGGACATCCACAATCCCACATATATTTTAATATACTACAAATAAATTGAAAACTCTATTAAAATTAGAGATAAGATCCTAAACTTTAGAGTATCCATTATAGCCTCATAGGTTTGCTTGAATTCGATTTTGACCAAATTCAAGCTTTCGTGTGGTTCGGACTTCGGATGGCTAAATAGTAAATAACCAATCACGAGCCTATTCATTATACAAATCTGTGCCAAATCTGTTCAATTGAATGTGGATCTTGGACGGACATGAGACTAGACATTATCCTCGAGCAACACATTCAAAAAACAGGTATATGAATCATATATAAAAACACTTCATAATTGCTTACTACTAAAATTTTGTATATTCGTATATTTCTAACTCTTAACTAATTTTAATTAATTTTTTTACAGACAATTGTTTGTATCTTGCATACTGCATGCAGTGGTACACACTGATGAAGCTGAAAGGAAAGGATCCATCAGGCTTAAGCATAGAAGCACTCATGCACAGCCTCTACATAAAAATGTTGACCACTGATTATTAGATTTTCAAGTTGTACTGACTTTATGAAGAGTGGAGGCTTTGTTGATGAACTTCGTCTTCATGAAAAGTCTTTCGGAGATGGTGAAGACGAAAAGTTCGAGGAACTAATTGAGCGCCTTTTGGAACTTGGACCAGTGGCGGTAACATGCAAATGTTTTCTTAGTTTTCGTGAACACAAAGTAAGTTGTTACATTATTTATTTTTCAGATTTCTTATTTTTATTACTTCCAGTGAGTTTTTCTGATTTTTTAATTTTATTATTACTTCGAGGGAGTACAGTCACTTACAATGGTTGAACGTCAGAGACATGTGTTTGAGGATTGCCCGATAATCATGTTGCGTTGTTGATGAGCACTGGAGTCTATTATGAAGATGGAGAACCGAGACACTATTGGGAGATTTTTGACTAGCTCGGTATGAGGCCTCATCATAAGGCCCGCCGAAAAGAAGGTAATAATATCTTCTTCTTTTTTTGACTACATATTTATTTATATCTATTACTAGACGTATATCTATTTTCTTCATGTGTATTCTAGGTCAAGGAGTGAAGGCATTCTTTTTTTGTTAATGGTGAAGACTTATTTTTTGGTTTTTCTACTTTCTATTGGTTTTCATCATTTATTTTTGTTTCACTTTTGATTTTATATGTCCCTACTCAATATAGTACGTTAAGAATAGTACTTAATCGCTTAATATTCTAAAGAGTACTAACAATATGAACCTATTAATAATTTCTTAACAGATCCCATTACATAAACTGACGTACCAAAAGCTAAGATAATACAAAATTCGCTTAATTCGGTAGGAAATCGGATAATTTGGTTTCAGAATTCCCATTTCATTTGGCTCGAGAATTTTGGAATTCATAAAAAATAAAAAAATAGACGACTAAGTTAGGTGAAAATTACGATGATGTAAACAAAATTTAAGTGGTTCAAACAATACCGAAACAGTTTAGACGATTTAAACATTGATGTACCACATTTTTAAAATTCTTTTTATATAGAAATCAAAATTTCACTTTCACATCTTACATTCTTTCTTCCAACACTCAAACTTCAAAAAACTTTGGATTTGTCTTTTTGACATCCACAATCCACATTTTTTTTATATATTACAAATACGTGAAAAACTCTATTGGTATTAAATGTAGGACCCATAACTTTAGAAAATCCAATTCAAGCCCCCAAGTATTTGCTTTAATTTCATTTGAGCAAATTCAAGCTTTTGTGTAGTTCGGATGGCTTATAGAACCAATCTCGAGCCCATTCACTGAAAAATCTGCTCAAAAGAGCCCAAATCCGACCCATTCAGCTTCGTTGGCGATACGTGGCGAGAATCGAAGCGAAGAAAACGACGACTTGGGCGACTCCCATCTCGGAGAAACCGATCTCCGGCTAGAAACAGTCCACGGCGACATCGTCTCCATATCGGAACAGTACTCATTCTCCGATCTAGACCCGGTTTTTCTCCGACCACCGTTCTTGTTCTTCCTCAACCTAAACTTGGGCGACGGGAAACACCCGAGCCCAGGAACAGCAAAATCGTGTCTTGGTTCGGATTCGGACTCGGATCTGGGGTTGACCCGGTTTGGACGGTGAAGCTGCCACCTTTCAGAGAAAGCACGTGGAGATGATCGGAAAGAAGGTCCCGGAGAGTAATAGAATCCAGATTGATGCGACGGTGGTGGTGGTTTGAGTTTGGATGGTGTAGTAGAGAATGAAGGAGGAGTGAGAGGAGATAAAGGACGGGTTTTTGAATTTGATATGAAAGAAGAAGACGGTGGAGATAACGCCGGAGGAAGAAGAAGAAGTGATTGTGAGTGAGACAATGGTTTTAATCGGAGAGGAGAGAGTTTCTTGTGTGGTTGAAGAAGAAGAAGACTAGTTGTGATGGTGGTGTTATTACCGGGCCGGGTTTTTGGCACTCCGGGTCGGATCTCCCAGCTAAAAGGTACAGTTCCTGGTCTCTTGAAAGAATCATCAACATCAACAATGGCCATTGCTTTCTTTTGTGTGTGTTTGCTCTCAAGAAC